ATGTGAATGCCGTTGAGCAGTGAATGCTTTGGAGCAGCTAACAAAAGGGCAAAAGTCATAGCCAAGTGTTGAGTTATCCATCTTAGCAGGTGCCTTGGCCTTCTACTTCTGCTTCTGCTTCTACTTATATTTATCCCTATCCTTATCCCTCTTGCCATTCTTATCTCTTGCCTTATGCATTGCTTATGATCAAAACTCTGGCAAAGTGTCGTCCTCATCATTATCGCTTTTGTTTCAAGCTGGCGCCGGCGTTGCTGCTGCTGCTGCTGCTGCTTCTGCTGCTGCTGCTGACGCTTCTGCCCGCAGCTAAAGCGCCATGGTAGAATCCTTTGGTCCTTTGGCGCCGGCCTGACACTTTTCTGACATTGTGCAAATGAATAATTGTGCTTTTCTTTGCCGCCAGCTCAGCCCGCCCAGCTACAGCTACAGCTACAGCTATAGCTATAGCTACAGCTATAGCCTCAGCCACAGCGACAGTCACAGCCCGACCACAACAACTGCACATCCGTTCCACATCGCTCGCTCAATGTCTCATCATCATCGTCGCCGTCGTAGTTGTCGTCAGCCTCGTTGCTCATTCGCTGGGCCGTTGTCATCGTCATTATCGTCATCAACAACATCATCATCCTCATCGGCATCGTCATTCGGATTCGCATTCGCATGAGACTCGTCTGGCCTGTCCTGGACAGCTCTGTTATATTCTATTCTGTTCTGTCCTGCCTCGCACTGGCCCGTCCGGCCACAGCCAAACAAGCAGCTAAACAGTCGCTTAGGCAGCCTGACTACTGACCCCTTTTCAATGGCCATCCGCTGGATATGGCCACGGGTAGCGCTGGACATTGCCATCCTCTTTTCCACACTGTTTGCCCATTCATTTTGTTTCTGTTTACGCTTTGATTGACGGAGCTTCGCTGAGCTGAGCTCGACGCTGATGCTGACGCTTTTGCCGCTGCTGCTGCGGCTGCTGGTGCTGCTGGTGCTGCCGTTGCATGTCCTTGCGCTTGTCCTTTCGCAAGCCAATGCCATTGCGCTTTCCCAGCGTTATTAATGATTTCTCCAAAGTTTTCGCTACATTTTATGCTACATCTTCTACCCGGCTGGCCCCGGATGCTCTGGTTGTTTATTCTTGTTGCCGTTGTTGTTGCTGGCATATTGTTGATTGTTCTTTTATCTCGTCTCTGTCAATTCGCTGCGTTATATTGCTGCGTTCCATTTGACTTTGGGTTTTGAATTTCCGCCACATCCCATGGGCAGCCGGCGCTTTGGCTTCCACCTCATCCAGCATTGCCGTTGTTACTGCTCCGTTCCCCGGTTCCATTTGGGCCCGACGCTTCACGCTTTACTGTCGGGTTTCGGGTTTCGGGTTACCAATGCAGCCCGTTGATGCTCAACAGCTTTTTGCAGTTTTGTCTTTCTGCTTTCATGCCCATTTCCCTTCAGATAAATACTTGTCAATCAGTTATTAATTGCTTTTCAAAATTTATTGAATTTGTGGTCTTAGTTTGTTCGGTAGCATCAACGTTATGACCATCCCTCTGATTGACAGGCAAATGCCCAAGTTTTGGCTGTTCTGCATTTCGACTGAGCTCCCCAGGCTAATTAACCCAGACAATTCCCACAACCACAGCAAGAAATGTAAGTGCAACTGGCCCCAAAAGTCAATCAATGTAAGGGAAATTATGCATTTTCAAATGAAAGACAACAGCAATAGTTAAAATACACAGTCCGAATTTGATTTCGGTTTAACATATTATAAAGTAGGAACTGCTTTTAATAACCAAAAATAAATTTTTGGTTAAAAAAAACAAGCTGTAAAACTGGTACGTTCAGAATGTTGAATATTAAATACATTTGCCGACAAAGGTATTTCCAAAAAAAAACCAATAGTTCTTAACTTAAGAGAGACTTCCATTGTTGATAAGGCTTAGCAAATATAATATAATTATTATGAAACTCGTAAGTACAAGGTTCAGTTAAGTGATCTTGAGAAATAAAAAGTTGTTCATATTGCTATCGACTGATAGTTCCTGTTGCCAACATATGGGAATCTGATTCTGACGTACACAAAGTTACAAAAAAAAGTTCCTCAGTAGAAGCTCCTATATTCTAAAACATATCAATTATAACACAGTTATGTTTAAAATTATTTATCCAACATCGAGTTGCTACAGGATGCAAAAACAAAAATTAAAGACAAAAAAGTTATAGTGCTCGTAAGACCAAGACTAGGAGATTCCCGGAACTCCGCGTCTTGCTGCAGCCACAAACATTGTAGCTTCATTCTATACATCAAGCACAAAATGACACAAACAGGTATGCAAAACGTAAATTATACTCAAGGATCAGTATCTCGATATCGATTCTTATCGATTTCAGGAAAACGGGAAAAATGTCCGATAATGAATGATAATGAACGGGCACTGGGAGGATCTATATTTTATCAAGTCTGAGATCGACGCGTTTGAACAAACGAACGGACTGATGGACAGGCAGATAGACGGACATGGCTGGATCGTCCATGGCTGCTGACCAAGAATATATATACAGTTAATGGGTAGGGAGGTGCTTTCTTCTGCCAGATACATAAATTTGCACAGTCCCATTATACTCGCATTTGCCATTTTCAATGGGTTCGGGGTATCAAAACCAAATACGTTAATTTGCCAGCTGGATGCTCAGTCTGCCATGACAGCCTCTCATTTTAAAGTCAAATTTCTTTGGCATGGCAATTTCGATAGCGCACGTTAATTGCATTTCTTAGCCGTGTGATAGACGACGACATTCGGGTTGTCAGCTGGCACTGACACAAGACGAGCGAAATTAACACCAAGTGATGGGTGTGCAGCAATGTATGTGTGTGTGTGTGCGCGCGCGTGTGTGTGTTTTGCAGAAAAGACAAAGAAAGAGATATGCACATATAGAGTACCTACCACTAGGAGCAATGCAACAGAGATGGCGCCACGAAGCCACAGTGTGATGCACGAAAGGTGTGTGACCACATAACTACACACATGCATACAGCATGCAGCACTCAGCACACACACACACACACACACACACACACACACACAGACGCAGAGTGCCAGCTGTGGAACAGCGAAATGCAATTAGAAAATAGATGTGGCCAGTAGATGCTCATGATGTTGGTGAAATACATGAATGGAACCACAGCCAAGACCACACGCCGCTTGCACGTTGGGCGCTTGCACACTCTCCATTTCATTAAATGCGCTCGAATGTTTATTAAAATGCATGAAATACTTTTAAAAACAATGCAGAGGTCGGCCGAGCACTTTGTTGCTGTCATGTTTATGAGACAGCTGCTGCGGCAGCAGCATTGCCAGCAACAACAGCATTTAATGACAGCACCAACAACACATCTGAAAGTAATTGACTCTGCGCCTCACTAGCGATCCAATTGCCATGGCTATAGCCATGCTGCTGGCCACAGTCTCCCAAAGAGATAGAAACTCACAGATAGCGACTGCGACGGCGACAGCGACGGCGACTGCAACTGCAAATGCAGGCTCTGGTTTAGTTGGTCGCTTTGGTTTACTTTAGTTCTGCATTGCTGGCTTGCAACATATGCAAATGGCCCCCATTGTTGTTGCTGTTGCTGTTGTTGCTGTTCGCGCATCTGGCAACATCTTGTTGAGCTGTCAAAATATGCTTGTTAACAACATTTGTTGCACCGCACCAACAGCTCCAACAACAGCTTGAACAGCAACAATATGCTCAGACCCGGCCATGCATTACACTAAACATGTTTACAAGACATCAGCAACTTTTTAGAGTGCACGCTTTTAGAAGCTGCTTTCCATTTAATTTCTGACAGCAACATTTTTTCATTTGTGGTTTTAAATTTGAATTTTTTTAATTTTTTTTTTTTTTTCTGCCTTACTTAGTTAAAAGGCGACAAAAATAATCAAAAGAATTGCCGTTGTTTTTGTATTTAGCTGGCATGTTGTTCAACTTTATCTCATGGTAAACTTTCCATAAATAGCCAAACCCAGTTCATACCATGCAAAAGATATGTGTGTGAGCAGCCGCCTTGGGCGTGCGTTTGTCTAATAGATCAGCATCAGCAACAGCAGCAGCAGCAGCAGCCGCAGCCGCAGCAGCAGCAGCGACTCAAATGTGCTTTTAGGCCATTTATCATCTGGACGCTGTCTGCAATTTCAGCGACTGGGCGGCGTTCGTGTTGCTGCAACAACAGCGGCGCGCGCCGTTTCTGCCTCTGCCTCTGCCTCTGACTCTGACTCTACCTCTGCCTTTGCCTTTGCCACATCCTAAGCATGAAATTCGAGCGACGTGCGCGCACAAGGTGTCTGCATTTCAACGCCCCAGACTCAGAAGCAACAGAGACGATGAGACCCCCACGGTATGGAACTGAAACCTGGACTAACCGCTAATGTTGCAGGCAGCGGACAGAAGGCACCAAGCAGGAGGCAGCAGGCAGCAGGCAGCACGCTGCTGGCCAGCTTGGCTTTTGCTTCATTTACACTGAAATTATTCAGCATAAATCATTTTAATGTTGCGTGATTTTTAGACGGCCATTTAGCGGCCCCCGAATGTCACTTAAAATCTGGCACATTAAAAAGACAACAGGCGACAGCAAGACGAGGGTTAATCCATGAATTTCAGACACATGAACAGCAACTATAACGTATTAAAACGAATTTTAAATTAAAATAAATGCAATTAAAATAAATTCTATAAATAAAAAAGCAATTTGCATGAAAATCAACAAATGAATATGTATTAAAATATAACACATCGTTTTTATGGATAAATTCTAGGTAAAAAGCATTTCTCTGTTTCTGCAGAAAATGCATAAATAAAAAAATTTAAAAAAAAATTGATATAAATTTCCATTTGTAATATTTTTCAAGCAACTGTCAAGGTTTGTTAAAATATTAAGTTTTTAATTAAATTTATTTATTTTTTTTATTGCTGGAAAGCGAAAAATATATTCATATTCAAATTTTGTTGCCCTGACAGCTGTTGGCTGACGAGACGGCGAGGCACTAAGTACATAGAAATGAGTTCACATTATAATTACATACGATGTGGCATCCACGTAAACTTTTTTGGCCTTGCTTTAAACCATCAGACAGTGAAAATTATGCAGATCAAAGCGCACACACACACACACACACAGACACACATTTAGTTACATATTTAAGTCATACATTTTAGACAGATGTGCTTTGAAGTTCCTCTGCCCAGATTCAGATTCATTTTAGCTTTGAGTTGGCGTTCGCAGGAATCACATCTTTTAGTTCGCAACACAAATGATACTTTGTTGTCGTTTGTGGTCGATTGTTGTTTGTTTTTGTTGATGTTGATGTTGATGTATGTAAAAAAATTCATTTGTATTAGCATCATAAGAATGTTATTGTTGCCAGACAGTTTTATACCACGAGTGTATGCGACTGTCTGGCTAATGGCTCCTGCAACTTACGCCATCAACTTTGGGCCTGCAGCGTGATCTTTGCAGGAAGCGCATTATGTGAGGCGGCATATGTTCCTTGTACATGGCATATTGGCGCAGTACAAAACGGCAAGCGCTAAAGTGCACACATTGGCCAACGTTTTTGTCGGGTGTCTGGCAGCTGGGCTCTGCCGGCAGATATAGAAAAATATCTAAGTATAACTGTGTCTGTGTGTGTGTGTGTGTGTGTGTGTGTGTGTGTGTGAGCCATAATCAATGGCTGGCTTACGTGTGTGGCAGAAAGTTGGCAACAAGATGACGAGCCAAAAGCAGCAATAGTAGTAGAAGAAGAAAATCAATCGAAATGTGCGCCGCATTTTGAATTTGAAATTCAAAAACAGCCGCCGCCAGCAGCCCCCGCTGATGATGTATTAAAGTCGCGTTAAGGTCTTATGCGCTTTAAGCGGCCACAAGACACAGACTGTTGCGGAAACCAAAGCTGGGCAACAGATTGTTGCTCAAGTAAACAGCTTGGGCGCTTGGGCAACTTTTGATAAGCGCGCGACCGAGCGACCGAGCGACTCAGCTACCGAGCGGAGCAGAGGCAGCGCTTATCAGCGGCGTGCAAAACAAGAGGCCAAAAAAATATGTACATAATATGTAAACAAAGGCGCGCACACGCACACACACACACACACACACACACAGCTAATATGAACTGTACACATAAGCTATAGCTGTGGCAGCCATAAACACATGTTTTAGCCGGCGCACACCAGTACGAACCCATACTTTGCTTTCAGTTTGAACACCCTGGAGCCCTCCTTTTGGCTTGGCTGGGCTGGGTGGTTGTTTTGTTGCAAAGGCAACGGCAAATGGATATTTATTATACATCTATGTAGATTTATTGCAAAGTTGAAAATGAATTCAAAGCGTGTGGAAAGTAGCAGCTGTACAAGGAATTGACTCGGTGTCGTCTTTGTATTTGTTGATAACATTGGCTAAGCAACTGTCTATATATTAACAACATTTTGAATATTACAGTGCCACCAATTAAATTGAAAATAATGCGCGCTTAAAATTCCTCTAATTCCACTCTGCCCCACCATCCACTTGCTTCAAAACAAAACATCATTAAATAATAAATGAAAACTGCAACTTATACCAGGCACACACTCCTTATAAAAGCCAACGATCATTATATCATACGAATTAATTAATGAGTGTAATCAAATAATTTGACTTATATTTGTGTTTTTATATTGCATTTCTACTAATGAGTAAAAATAAAATAATCAGGACTATATTCAATTTCGACTGACGCACGCTTTTAAACATTTATACTTTCCATCTATTTGTGTGCATGTGTGTGTGTGTGTGTGTGTGTGTGTGCGTATTTGGACGTAGTTTCGTTGGTAAAATTTTAATAAAAATGTAAATTTATTTTGAGTTGCCTAAGGGGTTTCTGGCACATGCAAAACCAATAAAAAGATATTGCTCGTTATGAGCTTGGCGGCCGTTCTGAAAAGCTGTGCAATTTCCATGCGCTCAAAAAGGTGCGCATGAAGTTTGGCAGTATCGTTTCCGTTATTATTGGCATGTTTAAAGTTTGGCCCCGTAACATTATGTCAATATTCAGACTGAAAATCCCAAGCAAATGTGCGACTGGGATGCTTTTACGGCGACTTGGAGACTGGATATCGCAAATATGGCTTAAAGAAATACTTATAAATATGAACTGTTAGGAGATATTTCACAGTCTACTAATATATATCTAAATTAGCATAATTTAATCAATTATTTGTTAATATTTTATATGAATATTATTTTTATCAAAGAATATATTTGCTTGCCAACGTATCTTTTTAACTGCGCAACTTTTGATTGCTTTTTTCCAAATAAATTTAAACTGTTTTTAACACCCATGCCAGGCCGTCACTTTCTACGTACACTGGCCATAACGTGAACATTGACGAAATGATGACTGATTTAATGGACATCGAACCATTATCAACTACATTGCAAAATACAGTCAAGTGATGAAAGACGCATTGTTTGCTCATAAAACCCGCACATCATTAAATTCCCCACCGCAGCGAGTGGCCCCAATACTAACAAATAAAAAAAAAACAAATTCCAGCCTGCTTAAGCTAACTTGGCCATGCTACTCAGATCATCCTCGCGCCCAGCCTATTCCCCCTAAATGTCCGTACGCACTCACATATGTAAACGTTTAAGTACGATATTTAGATATGTGTACAAAACATGCCGGAACCGAAGCATAAAAACCGAAATGCGCATAATAAAAAGTCATCATCATAGACAGCATAGACCCATGTGCCCCATCGTTCCATCGTCATGGCTTCAGCCCTTTTACAGATGTGCGATAAAACAACGCCCCGGCGACAAAGGGCATCGAAAATATGAGAAACAAAGCATAAAATAAAACACTTCGAGCTTCGAGTTGACAATTTGAAGACGTCAATAAAGTTCCAAAGCAGCTCGATGTCAACTCTTCTGTTGTTGTTGTTGTTGTTGCTCTTGTTGTTGTTGCATGCGTTTTCGCTTTTGTCGTTTTTCCCAATAAAAATTCTTTAGAAATCATTTAGAAAACGCATGCATGCACATCATGTGCACACCCACGGCCCCTCCCTTACGCCGCCCCCAACAATGCCAGCACATAGATAAAACGCGTGTCAGACACGACACTGTCATGGATCATGTGTCAAATTGTGACTTGCACTTGCACCACCAGCAAGAGCAGCAGCAGCAGCAGCAGCAGCAGCCGTAGTATCAGTGTCAGCAATAACTGCAATGGCAACTAGTAACCAGTTGGCATTTACCTGGAACAGCATCCGATGCCAGTTGCAACACTCGGCGAACGGGGTGGCAGGAGTTGGAGACCAAGACGTCTAGTATGAGAAGAAGACACTCGAGTGCTCAGCTCGAGGCGACAGCAAACGGCACACGCAAATGCACTTTTTGATTGCCTTTGGCTGCTCTTATCTGTCTCTGGCTGTTTTTCTTATGAATACCAAAGTGTAACACAGCGACTGAGTCGCACAATCAGACTTGGATTGTTGTTGCATTGTCGTTTTATTTGATGTTCGGGTAAAAGCTTTTATTAAAAATCGTATTGCATGCAAATTAGATTCCTCTCGGATCTCTCTCGTACTTACAACGATGCCCTCACTGACGCTTTGAGCTGCAATCTAAAAAAATATACACGTTGCCTTTTATATGATGATGCCATTGTCGTTGATGCTGCAGCTGTCTCTTCCACAGCGGCTGCTGCTGCTGCAGCTGCTGCTGCGGGCCTGCTGATAAAGACACCGACGACAAAGCTGCCAAACGCTGATGATTCAGACATCGCATCCAAAGCTCATTCTGCTGCTTACGACCAAATTGTTGTTGTTGCTGCTGCTGCTGCTGCTGCGCTTTGGTCTTTTGTCGCAGGTCTCAATTGACTTGATAAACTTCTTCCTACAATTTTTTTCAATTCTATCGTACGCTTTTGCTTGTTAACGTCAACTGACTACACACGCACACACACACACACACACACACACACCATCGCACGCACACACATACACAAAAGGGAAATGCAGGCGTAAAATGAGTTCGCTTTTTCTTTGGACTCTATCGAGCACGTCTTATCTCTAGTCGCATACGTATATGGTCCATGACAGCGCCGGCTGAGACTCTGGCTGAGGTTCCAACTGAGGCTGACTGAGGCTGAAACTGAGGCTGAGGCTGAGACCGTGGCAGCGTAACAACGCCGGCTTAAACACACTCGAATGCATTTCCATTTCATGGCTATGGCTTCATTGCCGCCAAACGTCGTTGTCGTCTGCCGCTTTGTCTGGTGGCTATGCGCCAACATGCCATATAAATGAAGGGAAAAAAAATAGAGAACCAAGTACCGACGCCGCAGTCACACTCGCAGTCGCCGTCGGCGTCGGCGTCGGCGTCGTCGCTGCTGCTGTTGGTGTTATAGCGTTCATCGAAGCTTAAGGTGTATAAATCACACACAATGCGGTCTTTTGTAGTTTCAGGCGACACACACACACACACACACACACACACACACACAGACCATGCCCGGCACTGATGCTGCAGTGAAAAAGTGCGCAGCGCTTAGGTTTTTTGGGTCTAAATTATTGCCCTGTCGTTCCGCTTTAAAGCTGCACTCGGTGTTTGGGCCAGCTGTTCATAGTTTCCGCTTAGCATTTAAATAATAATAGAATTATAATTTATTTTTAACAATTTGTCGCACTGTTTGTAATCATTTGTTAACTGTCAGGCGCTGCAATGCGAAGGCGTCTAAGCCGCTTAACAATAAGTATACGAGAAGAAAAGAGAAAAAAACTCAAATCAACTTCAGAAAAACGCATAATACCTTATAAAACGACGGCCACTTGAGTTACGGCCCACAGCCGTATCGGCCAAATGTCGTCCGATGAATAGCCAAAAATATTTAAGAGCTATATTTAAAATCAAATAAACACATCTGGCAACAATCAAATGCTTGCCATACTGTGAACTGAGCTTAGTTTCGGCATATTCAAGACTCGACGGACGTCGGCAGCCAAATGAAAGTGCAGGCAACTGCAAAGCGACCCACTCAAGTGCAAGTTCAGCGCCAGCCTCAGGCATGCAGCTTAGCCTGGATTGTATTGGAATTTGTTTATGGCCAACGGCAACTTCATAGTTCCACAGCGGGAATGGAGAGGGAATGGAGAGGGGGAAATGCAACTCTTTGACGCTCTGGCGCCATAGAAACAAATTTGTACACATGTTTCTGTCATTTTATGGAATTATGTGCAACGCAAACGACAAACGAAATAAAATCATTTTCCTGCTTCACAGACCGAACATACTCTCTTCCACAACATTTGCCCCGACAATGCACAGTGGCTGTGAAAACTCAAATATAGATCAAAACTCTTGGCAACCATATTAATTGGTAATAGAAATACAATTCGTAACTGTGTTATATGTATGGATATATATGTATCAAACCTAATCGGTCAGTCTGAGATAGGATTCAGCTATCAGATCTTTCTAAAAGTATTTTCGAAGCAGTATGTATGTACATGATGGGATCGGAAATATATAAATCAATATTGAAATTTGAAATTGAAATTTATTTTCATGGGAATAGGTGAACAGCCCGAAATTGTATGCATTCCATGAATTGGTATACCATAGTTAGGCAATGTTTGCAAAGGACAAACATGCCTGCAAAAGCAAAGGTTACTTGTATTTATAATTCTTCGATATTAGTGTCACGTATTAAAATATAAAATATTTACACAAATTTCGAGAGTGCTTGCTGTAAAATGAATTGAAGAGCCAACTGTCGATAGACATTAGGCAAAAGTTCTCGATGTGTACGTGCCACGCACAATGTCATAATAAATCAGGCCATTAAAGTATTAT